CGTTCTCATTTCCGTATCTCGATGAAAAAAAAAAATATATATATATATATATATATAACGACAAACTGTTACGATTAATATTTCGAACGATGCTCGAATACTTTACGGTTTCAAAGTTAAATACAAACGGAGAGGTACATGATCGAACATGATCGTCTCGATATTTCGCTATATCTACATTGTAACTGACAGTACATAGTGGTTGTAAACCGTTGCAGTTTACGAACGACGTTATATACACTCGATTATCGACGTTATTCGAGGCCGTGTGGACGTGATCGAAGATGATTCGACAATAAATAACATACTTGTTTATCACGGCATGACGGTCGTGCTCATTCGCATAATCGTTGTTGTAAAAAAAAAAAAAAAAATACTTTTCTCTCGTACTTCTGTCTTCTAGCTTCCCACTCGTTTTGGTTGTGGCAGGCCGCAAATGGCATTGTGAACCGGCATAGATAACCAACCAGCCATCGCGATTCCAATGGAATCGGCCATCGTGGCTATGCCCAAGGAAATTTTACGATCTGCCCTTGGGATCTGCAAATCGGATGAGAAAATATTACGCGTCCTTTTTTAATTATTATTATTATTATTATTATTATAATGATATTAGATGTTAGAAGCTATGTGTACATTACATGAGCAAAGATACCATGCGCATAGATTAAGGAACGACGTTAATTTGTCAAAGTAAAGTTACGTTACCTCGGTGGACATTCGATAAAATGTATTCACGTATGCTCCACCACCGAGAAGGCCTTCCCACAAAACGAACGTGAACACGATCCAAATACTGGGCAAGTAATAGAAGAGTGTCTCGAACAGCAAAATAATGACGTTGATAAACTGAAAGGAATACAAAGATATAAATCGTGATTACGCTCGATTACGATTATCGAGGAGGAGGAGGAGGAGGAGGAGGAGGATCTCGTAAGTTTCCATTGACAATATCGACAACAAGTAAATAGACTTTTAATCGATACCTGTAGGACAGCCATGATCCAGATTTTGTTGATCGTGACGAGATTGACGGACGATCTCGAGATAAACACTCCAATCTGATAATCAACCTGGAGCCAGCGATATTGCTCGGCGTGAGTTAACCAAATACCGTCGAATTCGATCAGCTCGTACTGTAAAAAATTAAAGTGACACGTGTCGATGAGAACACCTGGATTATCCGTGTTATTCTACTACGTACACCCATACGTAATTGCGTCTATTCTTAGCCGGAAATTATAGCAACAATATTTTGTAATCTTATTAGCGTGAAATACATAAAGGCAAAAAAAAAAAAAAAAAAAAAAAAAAAAAAAAAAAAAAAAAAAAAAAAAAAAATGAGAAACAATAGCTAAGAAGCAGAGGTAAGGAGGAGAGGGGGCAAACACAATTCTACAAAAAAGCTCGTGTAACAAAAAAGCATTACCAATCCTTGGTTAATGAAATATTCGAAGAGGTACACGAGCCCGAGAGGAATCATATACTTCAGCAATCCCGGTACCAGATTGATCTTTTCTTTAAAGCTCTTCCTAGGGATCTCAATGATTTGCTCTTGGCTGTCGATACCGTTCTTAGTGATCGGGATACTGGACTGCGGCGGATGGACCAGAACCAACCAGAAAGTGATTCCTTGTATGATCGGTACGATTAACATAAGTAACAATGTATCTTCGTTGCTTAACCACGTGGTGAGGGAGGCATAAGATAGCGCGCCAATTATTCCGGCGCCTCCAGTACCGGAAGACCATGTCGCGATTACTTGTCTGCGAAACAATGAATCGCTCTCAATTATGATGGGCAATTGCAAAGATTAAACGGGAGAGAATTCGACAAACTGTGAACGGATTAATATCTGGCGATGAGTTTTAACGAAAAAAAGGAAAAAAATAAAAAAATAAAAATAATAAAAATAAAAACGACGATGAGAAAAAAATTAATAAAGAGGGGAAGGGGGGAATAGAACATGATGTAATATATCTTTCCAAAATCTCCGAATTTCCGAATAAATTCTTACGAATGATCGTGTTAAAATCGGATACACGCTTGAAATGCACGTTTTCACTCGTATATATGTATGTATACGTATATGTAGCCACGAGTCGCGAGTATGTTTCTTTCTGATGAACTTTTGCAACGGTAAGGTTAATCGTTAGTGAATAGAGAATGACAAAATGACAGAAAGAGATAGATAGAGATAGATAGATACAGATAATAATGGGAAGAATAGAGTAGATCGTAATTAACAGTTATTACACATAAGTACAGACGTACCTCGTGCTCGCAACGAGT